ATGGTTCCACTGGCCAATAACACAAGGAAAAATAATAAAATATCCAGATGCAGAAGTGCAATTTCTTCAGCAGATTTTAAATTTTGAAGGTAATCAAGCTGAAGGAGATTTTTAAGGAGATCGCAAAAGAATAAGACTTTTTCAACATCGCATATACGTTAGAATAAAGCTTGAGCTAAGTCACATCCGAACTTCGATTTTCAGGTGAAGTTGACGCATTTCGTAAAGAAAACAGAAATTCTGCAAAAATAATAGGCCTATATATACGCAGACAGAACACGTTACTTTTCTTGAAACCTTATTCTAAAGCTTAGAAAAAAAAACACCAATCTATAGGGTCTGTAGAGGTATGATGAAAACACCGGAGAGAATTTTAGATGGACAAGATAAATTATTAAAATCTGCTGAAAACATACTCAAAGGTTAATTCGATTGCACATTTCGTATAATTTCGATTCCAGGCAACACTATAAGACTGCAGTGAGAAATGAAAATTTGATGTATCGATTACAAGACGCAATTTTCATGGGAGAGAAAATTTTTGTTCACCTCACTAGGACATTTGCTTCAAAATACAGCAAGATCATCAGCAAAACAAAAAATACAATCAAATGAAATTCTCAGCAAGCGAGGGAAGGGAAAAAAAAAGTTGATGAGCACATAGAAACATTCAATATTTCAACATCAACAAAAAAATCACAAGCAATACAATATGATCAAAAATTGAAATAAAGAAAGTCGGGTTGAGTCATTTCGTCCTCAGCAGATGAAGATTGGCATGCCAGGGTAACTTTTTAAATGGCTTGTCGCCGTCAGTGGATGAGCTGGAAGCAGCAGCGACACCGACGCTCGTCCTCGTCGACGGCAAAGCAGAGACAGCGACAGACCTGGGCCTCGACGATGCCGATTTTGCTGACGACGACGCCGACGACACTCCGTCGACGACACAACAGCTATGTACATTCTCCAACAAGAACCAACCGTCGTCGACGAGCCCGGCACCGTCGCCGCGTCGTCTCGTCCTCGTTGATGTCGACAATTCCGCGTCCGACGATGTCGACGCGACGCTTTCGACGAGTCGTCGCCGACTCACCGGTCTTCTCCACAACTGGATCCTTCCGTTCCAGTCGGCAGAATCCAGGTCTTCGTCGACAAACAACGGATTCGCCACGATTCCCACTGACGACGACGATGTCGAAGTCGACGTCGACAAGGAATCGTCATCAGCATTCACAGTCTCTGTCGCGTCACTTCCGCGCTGTCGAAGTCTTTGCCCGCAAACACAGACGTGTTGCCGCGTCGATGACGCGCGGCTCACCACACTAAAAGTCCCGGCATCGTCACTAAGTCTCTCATCATCGTCATCACCGACACCTTGGTCGCTTTCCACTGTCGTCATCATCACGGACGCCATCATCACCCTCATCATCATCACCATCATCATCGTCAGCTCGCGGGCTGCTGGAGCCGGACACGGTTCTCAGTCCGTCTTGGTCTTGTACGTGTTCTTCCAGATCTCGATCAAAGTGACGGTGGAGTAGAACCGGTAGAAGACGACGAGGGGGACGCTGACCCGAGACAAGACGCCCCAGGTCAGGTGGCCGAAGAAACGGGCCTGCAGGCCCTGGGTCACGGCATCGTGGGCCATGAATGTGTCCATGAGCCAGAGGGTCGCATTGGCGAACACTAGGAACGTGATCACCTGGCGACCGGGTTTCGTCAGCATTTGGTGACGAGTGGAACAGAAGCGTCGGGCTGCGTCTGTTATCACTAGGCTTTGCAGCGACACCTAGATTAGAAAAAATAAGAATATAATGCCTTGAAACTTGCTCAAGCCTTCTTGAAAACGCTGTTCATGCAACATATATCTCGTGTACGGCGAGTCAGATCATATAAAAAGAAATATGGATTTTCAGACAGACTTCTATTTGGATATCGTATGCAGATCACCGTTAAGGTCCTTGCAGTTCGGCAGACATATTATAAATATAATACATATACAGGTGGACTCTTTTCACAACGAAATTCAATTGAGGGATCAGACAAAAATCGTTGTAGTGAGAATAATCTCTTTGTGGAGAACCCCTATACCATGGGAAGAGAACCCTATGAGATTAAAAAAACATTCGTTCCACGAAAAAAAAAA